CTCACATCCTTAATACGCCTTCCTGGCCATGACTCTGTGATGCGATACACACATATATTTAGGTACGTAATGAAATGCATATATTTATACGTAGTAGGATCCCTATATACGCGAATCCTACGTTTTGTATCTCTTATTGTATTTGATTCTCGTTCTTCGCAGTGGATTGACAATAGAGCGCTCGCAGTTTGTGCCGGACCCTGTACGAGGTGTCATAATCGAGTTTGTTATGACCAATGAATTGCCAGAGAATAAGAAAAATGAGGACGCGGCGACCACTGGAAAAATAGAAAATGGGATTGGAGTGTACACTATTGATTTTGACTTCAAGCCTATTCCGGATTTACGGCCAACGTGGCTGGGTGAGCGCACGAAAATGGTCGACGGGAAGGACGAGATTTACAGAACAAACTACATCAAGGATGACAGGGGTATGTGCATTTAGTGAATCTTTGGGAGATGTATATTTTCTACGTGTGTATGCAATTACGTGCACATCCGAGTATGACTATACGTATGTACGTAACGATATAGTTTAGTACGTTGCTATTGTGTTCACCCTAAATTCGTACGTTGATTGGCAAGTAAAGGTATGGCCCGGAAACCTATATACGTGTGGATATATGTTCGCGTTTATTTGCACATAGTTACTTATATATCCGAATACTCAACCGGCTGCAATCTGCCAGATATTGCTTCACAACTGCCCGTTATTTACAATTTTGCCATAGATTTTATACTTCGCCGAGAAGCATGCAACGCAGATTGCTATACACAATACTGATACCTATAGATATTGTCATGGAATTCCAGACGGTGGCAAGAAAGGCACGAAACGGGAACTGTGGGCGTACCAAGATTCGGAGAGTGAGTGGACGGTCATGGCAGAGCAATTGGAAACGGTGGGCAGCCAAGCGTATGTCAACTGTAAGTATACTGTTCAGGTTCTATATGCCATTGTACATGCCATTGTACATGCCAGTGTATATGGTATTGTATACACCAGTGGGAGTGCAAGTGTAGCAGCGCAAATGGATTGCAAGTGCGTCATCCAGGATAGAATAGGCAGTGTGAGAGTCAGCTGTGTGGTTATATAGTTGGTACGAAACCAGGTTGAGATGTACTCGACAGTGAATGTATTGCTGTTGATTCCTCTGGGATTTGATATGCCGTTGACTCTGAAAACATCCGAACAACTGGAGTCATCGTTAAGATTTCTTCGAACGAGACTCACGCTACAATCATGGACTGCATAGGCAGATATAACTGCATGGGAAATATGGAGAAGATGGGGGGGGTTTGTCCGTGTGTGCACAACGCCACACACGGAGCTGTACAGGCACCGGAGTGTATGCCCATGTAACACTATTTATGTGCATACGCATACACGTACTTACAACGACGTAAAAAATAAGGTCTATATATACCAAACCAATCCGTTCATCGATCACATCTCAGGGAACCCCCACCGGCCCGATGGCTTGCGCACGAAGATCATACTGCATCCGGGAGAGAGTGCGTGTGTGCGCTATATTATGGCAGGTGGCATCAATGCGCAGCAGGCATACGATGAGCTGTGGAGGGGCCGAAGGGAGTGGGAACAGTTGTACGACCAGAAAGCAGAACTATACGACAAGGCGGCGAGGGCGTCGGATCTGACCATGAGTGCAGAAGGTATGTGTGTGAGCTTGAGTTGGGCACAGCTGAGTTGTACTGTGGAATGCGTTCAATAGGGAGCACATGGATTACGTCAATGCGGCCAAGGCGTCGGATTTGACCACAAGTGCAGAGGGTATGTATATGTGCATACGTGTTTCCGTGCGAGTTGATTGTGTACAACTAAGTCGAATTGTAGAAAAGTACGACAAATTCTGGAGGGGGTGTAGGGAATGAGAACAGTGGTACGACCAGAAGGCAGACCTGGACGACAATGCGGTGAAGGCGTCAGATCTGTATATGACTGCCGTGGGTATGTATGGGTGTATGATTGTTTGCGTAGTTGCTGTTCAAGTACAAGCTAAGCTGAAGTGTAAAGTTTGTTCTGTTTCTCCCAGTAGTATCGCAAGTCTCTGTTATGTATTCTTACGCACCACCGTACCATCTGGTGGTGGGTTGCGGCAACTCTCTGTGGCGGAGTGGGATGAAGTGAAACATGATTCACACTCCTACGCAAACCCACAAGCACAGCCCTCCGCCCATTCTTGCTTCAGCCTTGACTACTGCCCATACACGTGGGATAGCACACGACTGCACCACAGTTCGACAGGCACTGTTTGGCCCCAGACGTCCGCCACAGTGATTCGGTGGCGCACTCACGTTTATCTGATGTAGAGTATATGCGGATACAAGAAGATATTGTGCGCACCCTCACACAATCGTGTCTATACTTCTACTCACCTCTGGATCGTCCCTCTCGAACACCATCGCCCCACATATGGTCACATACATATGTTGGCAATACCTCAAGTATGATGTGGCTGGGCGTTGCTGCGGACATGCAGAGTTTATTATAATCATCACTCACATACACGTACATGCATAAATACAAACAGGCAGTGATAAGAACACCGCCTGGGTGGAGACCTTTGCCACGATGTTCAGGTGGCTCAAGTATAACTCGCTGTGGCTGGGTGTGGATGTGGAAGGGTGGGAAGGCGTGACGCTGTCCGCTGGGTTGGCCGACTATCCCTGGTTGTTTGGGTGTGACTCGGAATACGCCATTCTGGGGCTGAATGCGCTGGGTCTGTTTGAGCTGTCAGGTGTGTAGGGGTGAGTGATGTGATGCAATGCAGGTGTTTAGGTTCAAGCTCGCAATGACTATTCAAGGCCGACCTTTTTCCGTTTATTTGGACTGTGGAGGCGATCGAACTTGTGGTATAACTACGGGGTGCACAATTCTAGAAGTCAGAGAACACTCAAGTGCGTGTATACATATATATATCGCTTTCAATCAACGCATATATTTACGTGACCCCTCTTTATATGGGTAGATCTATCTCATTTGGTCTCGTTGTGTCTAGTCGTGTGTTTGTGTATACGGTTGTGAAGCAATTGTAGACACTTAACGAGTCAACGTGTCCGGTGGTAGGTCTGAGAAACACTCTGACTATTATGCATATCTGTCAAAGCCCTTCTCGCCTTTTACCCATGTCTGCATTTGTTCTCCATTCTATAATTAGTATATGCATAGGGAACCGGCCTTTCGAACCCGCAAACGACTGTGAAAAGAATCACTCATGAATTGTGTGCTCATATAGTCATGCAAGTGCGGCTACACATTGCCGTTTCATATATCTGCACAAGCATTTACGAAATAATCAACTGCGCCGCATATTTTAGTAGAGTGGTACCAGAACGGTTCACTGAGATGGCAAATCTAGGAACGAAAAGCTGCGTGATGCCGAGACACCCGTCAATAGAAGCGGGCATATCAGTTGAACATGTAGAAGGAGTTAAATGACCAACCGTATATGCTCGCACATACACCTTAAATGTTCTATTCCGGATGCGGACATGCGATACTTTATATTGCTTGCTCTTATACCTCATACAACATTGATTCTGACAGACAACACGCTCAAAACTCTTCACGTTACGAGTGAAAAGGCCAATAGCAACGGGCGAGTAGTACACGAGGTGTCTACCAATGGGGCTGTGTATCACCATGGCAACCTCAACGAAACGCCACAGTTCGTCACTGCGGTCTGGAACACATTCCTGTGGACAGGTAGGTAGATGTTGTGGCCAAGCGTGCTCATGAATCCAAATCATTGTATTATGTTATTCAAGCACAAGAAATGTTTCATGAGTATCAATCTATGCATTTGGCAACCTTGAAGTTCTACATAAGAGATGCAAGTCAACAATCAATGACATACACCCTTTTCAAATTGTGCAAAAGTATTATATTTGCTGAAAATTGTATATTTCATACGTACATACATGCTAGCAACATACAGTGATCCATACGCAATCGACATTTCTGTAATGCAGGTGACATCACAAAGCTGGAGTTTCATTTCGAATTCATGAAGAAGGGCATGGCATGGCTCGTCTCGCCCGAGAACGACCCTGATGGCGATGGAATACCCAACGGTAATTGTTGTTTGTATGTGCATGTGTGTCTGAGTATGCATGTGTATGTATGTGTATGTGCTTTTTAAGATGTGTATGTGTATATCCATGTATCTGTGCGCGTGTGTGTTTGTGGGTAGTGGGATGTTTGTGCGAATTGCTGGTTGTGACAACTGGTACACTCATTTGTTTGGGGATGTGACCAACTAGCCCGGAATGCATATCTCGTTGGTCACTGAACCCTGGATTGATCTGCTATGGATTCCAATGAATCCTATGAGGTAACTCATGATAGAACTCAACAAATGGGTTGTTCCTGATGCTTCAGGTTTCACAAGTATTGAGTAATATGTGTAGCCGGTTTCGATATATACAGATATAGTTATTCAGTTGCTGATTATATGCGCTTTCCTAGAATCTGATAGGCTTTTTTCGACAATTTGTTAAAACTCGCCTGCTCAATGGAAGGTACTTTTTTCTGCTGTCGAATGCTCTCACTCGAACCTTTGACAAGGTTTGTTTCCTGATGAGATGTGGTCCCTTTCGCACCACAGGAACGGGAATGATTGAGATTGCGAACATGGACAATGAAATGATCGATGTGGCCGTATATACCGCCCGTGCTTGGGAACAGCTGGCTATGATTACACGCACAATCAAGGCGTCCGAGGGTATGCCTGCATGATTATGTGTATATGTATACGTATGAGCTAACAGTGTTTACCTTCACACTCAAGATATCCGAGGGCGTATGTATATGGATTTGGTTTTATGTTTATGACGGAAAGGCAAGTTTGCGATTATTGCCGAGAACTAAGAGTGTGAGTGTAAAAATGAAAGACTTAATGCTAAGCCAGTAAGCTTATATGTGATTCACCCTTCTATGATTACATGTATGTAACTACATTCTCTAACACTTGTGCTGTGCTCGTTGGTAGTTGCACATTCATCAATGAACCTATGTAGATGTAGCACAACATCAAACACATGCACTCACGCACAGAGTTATCTCACCGTCAAGTAATGTACTAACAATAAATGCACGTGATCACAGAGGCGCATATACTCACTTTTATCAAACATCCTGTACTCGTGCCAACAGTCAATACAAGGTGATCACTGATAGAGTACTGGATTGTCAAAACCTATACTACCCATCAATGTACCTTGCCCCAGATGTATATATGTCAGTGCTCACTATTATCACTTCATTGATACTTGTGCTAACGGTCTCAGAACTAGCCGTCGACTATGACAAAAGGGCGAGTAAACTTCGCGCGCAGATTGCAGAACACTACTGGATTAAATCCGAAAAGGCGTTTGCCGATGTTCGGGGTACGCCGACACAAGCACGCGTACTCGTACTGCAGGTAGGTATATCGTCATCCATCGATGTGTTACAATATGTACCATCGCCAACTATACACACAACAGTCACAGTATCATCATCACCCGACCATGAGACACGAGATGTATTGTTATAACAGTCATAGTCTTATCATCACCGATTCATTTGACATGAGTTGTATTATTATAACAATAAAGTCTATATATATGTAGGTATATGTATACACATACGCATACACACACACACACACACAAACACACACACACACACACA